CTGTTGAAGACAAACGAAGGTATTTTGTAGAATGTTTGAAGAAAGTGACCATAGACTTTCCATAGAAGGAAAAAAAATACTATGGAAGTAAATGTTTACAATTTCCAATATTTGAATAAAAAAAAAAAAACAGCTGTGGTCTTTATACTTTCCACCTTTGGTCGCACTGCTGAAATACAAATGCAGATGCACATGTGCTTTCTTTTAAACAGAGGAACTGCACTTTAAAAAAAAAATGTAATGACAAAAAGTCAAGACAACAAATATTTTTATGTTGCTTTAACTTATTTAGTATGTTAATCAGGTTTCAACTAAATTTAAAGTTATTCAAAGTTTAACTTAATATTTTAGTCAGTTTGACTGATGCAAGTTGAGTAATTTTTTTAGTTAAAGTTTAGTTTGAGTTATTTTTTATTTATTTATCACAAATGTACTCTCGTAGCTTGATAATATTCCAATTGAGCCACGGAAAAACACAGTATGTTATGTTGACTTTTTTGGTACCTTTCTTCACTGGATACGGGCCATTGCTGCCTCTGGAGGATGAGGGAGCTCTCATTATTGTGTTGTGAAGAAAAAATCTAGTTATGTATGGAAAGCATTGTCAATGTGATGCACTGAGATATCGAACTGAACCGAATCAATGGAAAGATAATCGTAACCAAACCGAACCTTGAGACCAGTGTAGGTTCACACCCCTACTAACTAACTTTACCATCTGAATAAACATAAACAAAGAACTTTGATCACCAAATCTGTAGAGACAAGACTTTCAACATCAACTGGAACTGTGTCTTTTTTAAAAGAAGATAAGCGTGCAAATCCGGACTTCACCATTTCCAGATGTGAAAAGCTCTCGGGTAAAAATGTTCCTCACAAACATTTTTGTTGCATGTTAGCAGACCACTGTAATCCACACACAAGCTGCGCTCTCATAGCGGGGAACTGGAAACAAAACCATTGTTGTGGCACATTTAACACTGACGACCAATGTTTCTGAACAATTCTTCTACTTCCACTTTTAATTACGGTTGGCAACACAACGTGGTGTCTCCCTGCCACCTGAACATTGTAACAGGTAAAAACAGTCTTTATAGCTATATCATGCATATTAATGAAGTTGCATCTCATTCACAATAGAGCGTTCTGATTGGTTCAAAAAAGTTTTTCACATTAATTAATGATCAGATGTGCTAAAAACTCAATGACGTCACTTGAGTTGACACCTGCCAGTAAAGACATCCAGTCTTCATGCTGGAATTTACATGAGGATCTCATTGCTGTGACTTTGTGTTCAAATTTCTTTTTAAACCAGAAGAACAAATTTATTCCAAACATGCAAAAACAACCAATTTAACTTGTTAGCTAAATATATGTGTCCTAATAGTGTTTTACCAATGTGGGACACATATATGACTGTCAACATTTTTAAAAAAAAGTGTTTTGGTGTTTCGTGAACCTTTAAACACAGTTATGCGTCAACAGTGTGTGAAAATAGCCAGCCTTATAAGAGTAAAAATGTATTAATTTTATGTATTATAAATTGCACTTCAGAAAAACAAGCTTGCAGAAACACTTTGATTGACATTGTATCTTTGTACAAGTCATCAGAGGGGGAAACACCCGCCCATTAGTGACAATCTCTTCCTCATTGGCATAGAGAGCCTTAAGTGAGAAGCAGCCATCCAGCCAATTAAAGTTTTGAACTGCCGCTATGCTGACACATCCAGTAGGCATGTATAGCTCCACCCTCTTGTGATCTCATGAACAGGATTTAATCCAGGATTAGAATCTTAGACAAATTAGGCCATTAAAGCTGCTATTATAAAAACAAATACCTTAGAACAATTACTGCTGTGCATTTAGAGACCAAACAATGGCACTGATGTATTTGAAGATATCTCACTGCAAGTTACTTTCAGTTAAAAAAACTCAAATATGGAACTTAGCCTACACCTTACAGGCATAGCTCACCCAGATTGTGAAAATTCTGTCATTTTTACTCACTCTTTGTGTGTTCCAAACCTTTAAAAGTTTCTTTATTCTGTTGAACACAAAATAAGATATTTTAAAGAAAGCTAGAAACCTGTAACTATTGACTTCTATAGTATTTGTTTTTCCTATTATGGATGTCAATGGTTACAGGTCTTGCTTTTTTTAAATCTCTAGTGAGGAAATTTTCATTTTTAGGTGAACTATGCTTTTATGAAAATGGGTAAATAACATTTTAGTGGCTGGCATCTGCAAATCACGAGGGAAATGTATGATGGACATGATCCTACACTCAGGAATAAAATATAAATATATAGAGGACTCATTCTACACAAAAAGTAGCTAAATAAAAAATAATAATAAATAGTAAGAATAATAATTAAACTTGATGCTGATACACCTTTTATTCTTTGAGAGTTGAGAGTTGAAACCCACTTTTTGTCTTTGACCCATACAAAACAAACTTAATTATGCAAACTGCATTATTATAGAAAAAAAATGTGTTTTACACCAAAAACAAATATAACAAATATTTTAAAACGGCCAATCTGCAAGGCTGGCTTTTCATTTTGGAACCGTCACTAAATGGAATGATTTCTTCAGTTAACCAGCCAAGCAGGCACAGTTATTGGCTAACAGTGATACATTTCAAAATAGCCAAATAGCATTTATTTCTATTAACTATTGCTTGCTTACTTTGTATAAATGAGAAATTGGCTACAACTTTTAATTATATGTTAATATTTCATAAAACTCATAAAATTTACTCACTACTCACTGAGTTTCTTTATTCTGTTGTACACAAAAGAAGATATTCTGAAGAATGTTGGAAATCAGTAACCATTAACTTCCATACTGCACACTCAAAACTAAAGGTACAAAATCGGTCACTGGGGCGATACCTTTTTAAAAAGTAAACATTTATAACATACAGAGGAACATGTTGTACCTTTAAGATTCACTTTGGTACGTTTCAGGTTCACTTTTGTATCTATAAAGTACTCAGAGGCACGCATTAGTAAAGTTTATTCATGCACTAATTTCGAGAGGATCACGTGCTTATGATTTATCACGTCCAGTCTCGTATTTGCTAATCACTAATCTTCCAATCATATGAGCCCTAAGGCACCATAAATAGCCTCAGTTTTCAGTTCACTTTATCTTCGTTTGGAAGAAACCCCCCTCCTCCCCTATTCTCCTCCTTTACCTACGATTGGGCGGCACGGCGGTCCAGTGGTTAGCACTGTGAACCACACAGCAAGAATACTGCCGGTCCTAGTTCTATAGGACCGGTGAGTGTTTCTGTGGGGAGTTTGTATGTCCTTCCCGTGTCCGCGTGGGTTTTCCCCGGGTTCTCCGGTTTCCTCCCACCATCCAAAGACATTCAACATACATAACAATCAAGCTTGTCTAATTCCTTACGTTCCCTTAGCTACAGCGGCAGGGGAGTTCTGAGATCCACCGAGCTCGGGCTCCCTTCTTGCTCTGCCAACGGGAGGAAGCCCCGGGCTCGAGGAGCCCTTGAGCTCGGGGCTCTCTCCCGGGACAGCATGCCAAATAAGCTTTGTAAATCAACAGCTAAGTGTGAACTCTTGAAGTACTTTTTAGATATTAATATACCTTTAAGCACCTGTAAGGAACAAAAAAATTTGTTGTCAGATTTTGTACCTTTACTTCGGAGTGTGTAAGACAAAATACTGTGAAGCTCTTAAAGGGCACATATTTTACCCATTTTTCAAGATTTTTGTTTTTTGTGTATCCAGAATGTGTCTGTAAATTTTCAGCTCAAAATACTCCTCATATTATGTATTATATCTTTATATATCTGGGAAATTTGAGCTGTTAGGACATTGTACCTGTTTTTGTTGCCTGTGCCTTTAATGTTCTCGTTCTCCCTGCCCACCATTCCAACGTGCGTGTCAGAGCCATAGCCTTTATTTAGATAAACATCACAGTGACAGACAATGATGAAGCAGACCTCCCTTACTACAGTAAGAACTTTCCCAACTAATGTAATTTTTGTGAACATAATTCAAGTCTTTTTGCAACGACGAGTCACAAACAATGTCGATATAAAGTGCACATGCGCAAAACACAAATTTAGCTTTGCACTGTTTTTGCAAGGCAAATGTGACAGGATACATGTTAAGACACACTGCTGTTTGGACATACGTTATGTTAATGTACAAAATAAACCTGATTTATTTTTTGATATGATTATACGCGTTACTACAATGACATGTTAATACACGGCTTGATGGGTTATATCACTCCAATATGACTGTGGACACACTATGCCTACACACACTTCTGTCCAAACAGCTTACAAAAGTTGATTTTCATCATAGGCGCCCTTTAAGGCTGCCAGATTCCAATGTTCTTCAAAATCTTTATGTTTAAAAGGAAAAAGAAAATCAAAGAGGTTTGTGACAAGAGCAGTGTGAGTAAATCACGACAGAATTTTCAGACTACTATGAACTAAGATACTATACACTATCCCTTTAATGCTGATTGGTACCATGATTCCTTTTTTTAGAGCTGTATCTGTACTTTTACTCCACTATTTTCCCTTCTAGTCACTACTTTATTTTTGTCTATGGTGATTGGCTAATGTAGAATAATCAGTCCTGTGATTCCCGTTCGATCAAATGGCATCAAACAGAACATCCTCAAGACACAGAAATCACAAATCTTAACACACAATGGCCGAGATATTATTTATAGGCTGCACTTTACTGATAAGAAGCTGATGGATATCTATCATATGATGACTGAAATGGCTTTAAACAATAATAAATGCACTACAGAATATTACGTTTTCACACACGCACAAATTGCATGTTAATGCATCAGCCTTTTTCACTCACAACTCACTACTTTTAAAAGGACTATTTTTTACATGCACTTGGAGTAATATTTTCAATAGATACTTTACTCTACTTACACTACAGTTTTAGGTAAGTAATGGTACTCTTTCTACCACTGTAGAAAGTATTGTTTACACTCACCTGAACTCTCTGTAAAGACAGCGAGGGTCTGCCCTCCCACCGTCTGCATGGTGAATGGATGTTCTCTAGGGGAGCGAACGGAGGAAATCTTCTCCCCGGAGCAATCAACAACTGTCAGCTCCTCGTTCAGATTGAAAGACACCTAAGGAAACAATCCGTCAGAGTCTACACAAACAAAGATGCGTCAAACATTCTCAGCTCTCCAACCCAGAGTCAGATCATAATAATTATGCAAATCCACGGTGACATTTTAATATATGATATAAAGAAAACCAATTCCTTTCAGCAGCACATGTATTTACAAAGAT